CGATGTACAATACAATTTATAACGTACAATGTAAAATACAGCAAGGATATCATGCAGCAATCGTTGTTCCAGACAAAGCAAAGGCCTTTTCCAGGACACAAAGGAATCTGTTCAAGAATCTCAAAGGCGGCACGAGGCGCTTATGATCACTCAGATCGTGATCCATCCGGCCAAATTCAGTTTATTCGTGCATATTACAGAAGTAAGTTCCTGTTATACATGTATCTTATTTATTCAATACATGATTGTATGAACATTGGGCGGTGAGCTACTTGAGTGAGAGCGCCGGCCGCTGATCATACTTACGTAACACTGATCGCTGATTGGCGCTGACGATCGCGGGTAAGCGCTGATTGGCAATCGCTGATGATCGGCGATGATCGGCGTGATCGGCGATAATCGGCGATTCGCCCACGAGGTCATCCACCAGACTCATAGTTCAGACATAGGTACGTACGTACAAAGGGATCTACATAAGTACGTTACTACAAAAGAGAAACGAGGAAAGATTACGCTCGCTGGATTGTAGTTGAAAGAGGAAATTTCGGAATGCCACAGTGAATAGACTTACAGTGCGCAGCCGTCGGCTCGCCTTGATCGTCCGAGCGGCAGTCTTCTCTGCAGTGCGCTGCCACTTAGCAGCTGAGATCTTGCACACCCGGATCAGCGCCCTGTCAAGTGGCCACAGGCTTTCGAAAGGGTCGACCTGAGGAAAGGCACGTCGCATCTACAGAACATTAGCGTCAGATCGCATACGCACCGCTAATATTAATGCCTACCTCCGAAATAACCTGAGCTTTAATCTCTGGGTCCTGATCGCTCAGAGATAGAGCGGGGTCAAATTTCTCGGTGGCGAGAGTATCCACTGCGGCCTGATGTAGGAATCAGAAATGTTGGCATTGAGCAGAGTAGAACCTACCTGGAATTGTGCAATGAAATCGTTGCTCCAGCCGGTCAGGATCGGGAAGTCTGCGTCTTTGACATGCGACGGGCCACCAGCAGGTACCTTGAGGGAGATCTCCAACTTAGCGTGGGGGTCGTCCACTGGCATCGTCGGCTTGGGTGGGTAGCAGTGGGAGGGCTGTGGCTGTGGAGTCGAGTCGCATACAAGTGCAGCAGGGAATCTGACGGTCTTCTGTTTGGCCGAGGCAATGGCCTGTTCGGTGAATGCAAGGGGTGACCCGTCGTTCAGATCCTGGTGAAGGAGGGGAGCAGGTAGACTAGGTGGATAGACGTTTGTGTGAGCAAGGAGCACGACGACGGGGGGAGGTGGAAGGGACGGCTTAGCGCGGAAGATCATCGTCAACGTGGATGGTCCTAGTCCAGCTGCATTGACAAGCGTCTCGTATACTTATTGTCTGGCGGTCAAAGGCACATTCGAAGCAAAGGGATTGTAAAAGGGATTGTGAAAGGGTTTGTAAACGAACAAAGAAAGATCTGATTGTTACGGGTTTGTAAACGAACAAAGAAAGATCTGATTGTTTTGTTGAAAGCGTCCGTCATAGACAAAGCCTGCAAGACTACGAAGCGCGTGGTCATCGACTGATTTGTGTGGAAGCATCCGCCGTGGCAACGCCTTAAAGATTGGGAGGCACACGGAGACGGGAGCACGATCCTTCACATCTATCATGCTCCCCTCTCTAATTCGAAACAACTCCGGCTACCGCCTGCAGGGCAGGCTCTCCGGGCATACAGGTGCCATTCTCATTTTGAAAGCGCGCGAGGACGGAAGATATCTTGCTAGTGGAGGTGGGCTTCATGAATCAATGGCGGACGCGGTTCCCTTACCAGTACATAGCTCTAGATACGAACGGGCCCAAAGTGTGGGACTTGAAAGACATGCGCGAACTTGAGGTCAAAACTGTGGCTTCCGATCTCCGAGGTGCCACCACCAGGGTCCAATGGATCAAGCGAGAGGACGATGTCGGGGAGGCGTTGATCTATGGTACCCAGGCAGGATACATCGTTTGCTGCCGACTGGAGATGGAGGTGAGTGTGATCGGCTATCTGCGTAGAATAGGATGACACGCCGCTAGCCCAAGGGTACGCCCCGTTTCCAGGAAGTCTGGTGCCGACAGATGAACGCTCCCTCGGAGGTCACTGGTCTTGCGTTTGATCCAGCTACCAACCGCCTAGCCGCATCCAATCGCGAAGGAACCCTCCAGATATTCACGCTAAGTTCGTCCATGGGCGAAACAGAGCGATTTTCTGGCCTCATCCCACATTGCGTCCCCGGAGCTTTGGCGTTTGGTGCGATGCACGGTAACGAGCGCGAACTTCTCGTGTTCGGGCTTTACTGTGGTCTCGCGTGAGTTCATTGATGATGAAGACTTCACAAGAACTCACCCAATCTCAAGGTACCATTTCCACGACAAGAACTTGTGCACTTCAGACAACGCACGGAGCCTTGGCTGTCGCATGTACGTCAGATTTGTTCCCCAGATTCGATGGCTGAGAAGCGAGCTAGAGCCGATGTCGCTGTCGACCAGGCCAACGGCATCCTCTGCGTGAGCGACCCGGCTGTCGGCGTCCACTTGTATCGCCTGACCGGAGGTGAGCTGGTCAAGAGCTTCCCTGTACCCACCAACAAGACACGGCGCATCCGCCATGTGGCATTGTTGGACGCAAATCGCGCCGTTGTCAGTGGCAGCGATCACGGGATCGTCTACGTGTACACCCGAAGGGACAATGTGCTCACGAAGCTGCAAGTTGATCCCAGCGGATGGGTACAAACTGTCACGGTCAGTTAGATGCGGCGCGCACTGGCTGATGGAGAGCTGACGAGTTGTAGACGGCGGATGTAGCGGGAATCCCGACGATCTTCGCAGCGAAGTCGGCTGAAGTGAGCGGAAAGAACGACATCTTGGTGTACCGCAAGACGATGGTGAATTCACATGTCGTGGCGAGACTCATCGGCAGCTTGAAGTGGATGAGCTGGCTGGTCATCATCCTAGCAGCCGTAGCGTTCGTGTACGAGAAGGTCCTCAGTGTGTTGTAGCGGAGGAGAATGCCATGAAGTAGAAGTGAAATAATGAGTACGACGCGGGAGATCGTAGAACTGTCGAATCTTCCGCCAGAGCTTGACGAGAAACGTCTGATCTTTGGCGATGTGAACACAGTATTGTCAAAAAGAGAACAAGGCGGTTGGCTACATTGCTACTCGACGACACACGTCTGAGTATACAAGGCAGACCGGAGTAGGCGCGGAGTCGTTATGGTCGTAAGTTTGAGGAAGTCCAGTCCAAGGCCGATCCATCTCGACGGCACACGTCTGAGATACAGGTACTGGGAAGTCAAATCCAAGGCCCATCCATCTCGACGACAAACGTCTGAGATGGATTGCGGGAGAGAGGGCGGCTCCACCTCGCGACGACAAACGTCTGCGATGGTGGAAGGCAAGGAGGGAGTTGATTGACAGCGACTTGTCAAATGACAAGTCATTTGATGCACGTGAGTGATCAGAGCACGTGCCGATCATGTGAACGATGGCCGATCAGATTGTCAATAAGCGTCAAGCTCGCTCTCTGCTCCCCACCCCCACCTCCCTCATCGTGCCAGACGTTTGTCGTCGGCACGCTTGGTGCATCTGAGACGTTTGCCGTCGAGATGCACTTTTTTTAGTGTCTTCGACGCTCAGACGTTTGTCGTCGAGCTGTCACATCTCTAGACCGCTCAAATCGGCGTCACTGCATGTCGCCCACCAGACGGCTCTCTTCTCGACGATTCCTGCGCCGTCGAGATGCAGTGTTCCGCCGGGTTCTCCTGAGATCAGTCTCAGCGATCGAGTATAAACGACATGGATGGACTGCTACCTTGGTGAGTTTCTGACTTATAAATCCCGGTCTCTCTCTGAATCTGACTGATCAGGCTGGTCTCTTCTCCAGTGTTGTCACGACAGTCATCACCGAAAGTTACAAGATGCTGGCCCCGGACTGAGGTAGCCAGACCGTCGCCCCACTCAGCCAGACCGTCGTCCGACTCAGCCAGATCGTCGCCCCACTCAGCCAGACCGTCGCCCGACTCAGCCAGACCGTCGCCCGACTCAGCCAGACCGTCGCCCGACTCAGCCAGACCTCGCACCACCACGCATGGACCATTCATCTCGACGACAAACGTCTGAGATGAGTTACGGGAGAGAGTGCAGCTCCACATCGTAGACGTTTGTCAGCCAGAGCGTCGGCCGACTCAGCCAGATCGTCGGCCGACTCAGCCAGATCGTCGCCCTACTCAGCCAGACCGTCGCCCCACTCAGCCAGACCGTCGCCCCACTCAGCCAGACCGTCGCCCGACTCAGCCAGACCGTCCCAGCCAGACCGTCGCCCGACTCAGCCAGACCTCGCACCACCACGCATGGACCATTCATCTCGACGACAAACGTCTGAGATGAGTTACGGGAGAGAGGGCAGCTCCACATCTCGACGACAAACGTCTGAGATGAGTTGCGGGAGAGAGGGCAGCTCCACATCGCGACGACAAACGTCTGCGATGCTGGAGGCGAGGACTCGAGGGAGAGTGATCACAAGTCATTTGATGCACGTGAGTGATCAGAGCACGTGCCGATCATGTGAACGATGGCTGATCAGATTGTCAACAGGCGTCAAGCTTGCTCTCTGCTCCCCACCCCCACCTCCCTCATCGTGCCAGACGTTTGTCGTCGGCACGTTTAGTGCATCTGAGACGTTTGCCGTCGAGATGCACTTTTTTTAGTGTCTCTGACGCTCAGACGTCTGTCGTCGAGCTGTCATATCTCGAGATCCCTCAAATCGGCGGTCCCCGCATGTCGCCCGCCAGATGGCTCCGCTCGTCATCTTGCTCTCTTTCCGACGATCCCCGCGCTCATATGGCGAAAGCTCGTGCGTGTCCATGCATCAGGCGTATGCCACTGGTGTCTGAATACCCAACACCACGCCTTCCGAGCCACATTGCGACAGCTCAGACGTTTGTCGTCGAGTGTCATCAAAAGATGTGAATCAATAATTGGGATACAAGTATCAACAGCCTCAAGCACCCAGTAGGCGTCGTACGGCCTGGCTCTCCTTCGCCTTCGCGTCAACTCTACTATCCTGGATTCGTTCCAGCCCAGTGCGGATGCTCTTGATGTGCACATGCACCGGAATCCGCGATCCCGTCAGCTCGGGGGCAGACACGCGTTCCCGGAGATCCTCGATGTCGTCGCTCATCTGAATCAGTGCCTGAAAAGCTGATACGACATGTACAAGCGCCTGCTGCCGATACTGACCCAGTCCCTTCAGCAGGTCCAGATGTTCCTGGTATCCGCGCAATGTCTTGCGATTACCGCCCAGGACGGTCCACAGGTCCCCGAGGAGCTCCGCTTTCGCAGAAGAGAGGGAAAGGTTCTCTCTTGTCACAATCTCGTGGATGACGGAGAGTTGCTCTTCGAGATTGTTCAAGTTCCACATGTTCAACTCCACTTCAACCACTAGACGCTGGAGCGTGGAAGAGAGATAGTCGAGAGAGGTTTCGAAAGTGTCCAGGACTATCCCTGTGGTGTGGTCTTTCCAGGGAGACAACCGGTTCCAGAAGTTCCAGAGGGACGGCCGTTGCTGCTGCGACGCTTCAATCGTATGAAGCGCGTAATCATTGACCGCCATGATGCTGTAAGATGTAAGTGTAGTCCACCGCCGCTCAAGGAAGATGGAGACTGACCCGTCGACAGCCCCAGCAACCTTCGCGCTTAACTTGTTCAGTGCCCGCCCAGTGGCGCGCGCATCGTTCACGAATCCTCGGAGTGTATTCTCCAGCATATCCCGGCTCCGCAGATCGCTGACCCCCACCAACGTCACTAGATCCGACGTTGCCATTTCCGCCTTCTTGATTTGCGTAGCCAGTGCTGCACCGGAGGTTGACTCATCCAGCAACTGCGCGAGCGTCGTGCTCTGCAAGTCCACCAGCGAAGGGAAGTCGGCCCACTTCGCGGGGCCAGGTCCGACAAAGGGCACCGTGCTTGTCGGTGGGGCGCACAGAGAAGCGCTACGAAGGCCAGGAATGAAGCAAAGCGGGCGGACCGCCCTCTGCAACGTGTGCGTCATGACGCTGAAAAGGAAAACTAGCATCCATAGGAAGAGCAGGAGCGACAGAGGGATCCGTAACAGCAAGATGGCGCGCTTGAGGATGTCGAGAACATAGCGTCCGGCAAAGGCACTGCCGTCTGCCGCGTGTTGCCTGGTGATTAGATGTTTTGGCGCGGCGGGAACGCGAGCGTAGGGCTTCATGGGCCTTTGAGCTCGTCTTCGAATGAATCTACTTGCAGCCCTTGGCGAAATGTCTTCCTCGACGTCTTCCCAAGTATCATCCTCAGACTGTCTTGAGTCTCGAGTTCACGACGTGTGGGGCAGCTGCGCTCACCTTCTGTGTCGCTGACATGGCAGTTGTGTGGAGAGAGTGTGTGAGTGGCACCAAAGGCATCGTGTATCAATGGGCTCTGTTTCAAAGAAGTTTCAATGCCGCAGTTTCCAAGGCGGCAGACCGGGCCGACGAAGTGCACAGCCACTCAACACAAACTCGACCCAACAACCAGCACTTGTCTTGCCTCTGCGCAATCACCATCCATTCCCCTCACCTCTGTCAAACGTTTGTCGTTGACAGAGTTTGCACTCGTCCGACGTCTGCCGTCGTCGAATGCCGTCGTCATCCTCCTATACGTGTGAGCGCTGCCCTCTAGAAGGCTTCCGGAATCATAGAGTGGCAAAGACTCAGAGAGTGGCACACAAAATCGAGATTGCGCAATACGAGAGAACTACTACTCAGCACCTCAATGTCACGGAGAGAGATATAGTTGTTGCGCCCGAACAGCCAGTTGTCGGGCATGAGATTCAGGAGCCCGACTTGCAGGATACATCTATGCATGCAGAGCCAGACGCCGACCCGACCACTCTGGAGCTTGAGAGGCTCGCCAGTCTTCTGACTGGTTTGGTCATTCTCGACGAGGGTGAACAGTCGCATCGCGAAGCGCAATCCAAACTCTTCAGCACTCGTGACGAATTTCAAGCCAGTGTACCCGATGTGCCGGTCGCTTTCATGCCCATTGCACCCGCGCAAGCTCTCAGCGGCGTCGAATCTGTGCTCAAGGCCCAGTCTCTTCCGCTCTCACCGTCGGTGGTACAAGCCCACCATGTCAATATGGGTCTATGCCGCGATATGCTGCAACGAGTTCGCAATGCCATGGCCGAACTTGAACTCCAGCGGGCGTTTGACCTTACCCCCAGTGCCACTGTCGCGCTGGTGACTATAGTCGACTCCGCCACCCTCGTTGTTGGCGAAGCGGGCCGACTTATTGCCAGTCTTCTGCCCTCTAGCAAAGCAAGCCCTCGGAAGCGACTCAGGGCAGAAACACAAGCAAACAAGGAATTATTTGCGATCTTGAAGGACATCCGGGAAGAGGCCGAGACACTTGACTCGCTCATTGATGTCATCGGCCGTTTTCTTCCGCCTCAGACCAAAGAGGTCGTACATAATTCTGGTATGTGATCCCTCGCTCGTTTGATTCATTTGGCTCATCTACATTCACAGATCATCACTTCGTGAACCCAATTGCCAAATTCGATGTCACTGCTCAACTCTCCATCCTTCTCGCCCTCATCTGCCATGTCGTCGTCGGCATCAGCGGTGATGCTGTCAATCTGATCCTTGCATTTGTTAATGCGATCATACAAAGCACTATGGCCCTTTGTTCACACAGCACGCGCGCCGATCCTACGCAGGAGTATCTACTTAAGCAGCTACCCACGTCGCTCGAGTCTGTGCTTCGCCGGTTCAAAATAGATCCCAGTACAACAGTCTACGCGACTTGCCCGTCCTGTCATCATACACATGCGCCATTGCAGGACCGACTTAGTGGCGAAGCTTCCTATCCGGAGGTCTGTCAAGGATATATCTACCCTCAGCGAGGCGAACGTCATGCCTGTGCAACACCGATTCTAGAATGTCGTCAGGGCAAGTTGCGTCCTATCAAGCCATACGTCTTCACCTCCTTCATCGATTACATCGCTGCAATGCTCTCTGATGCTGATGTTGAAAGAATGTGTGAGAAGGCGTGCGATGACGCGCTGGCGGCTGTCCGCGAGGCTCTCTCCACGAACCCTGACGCGTCTGTCGCGGAGGAACGGGTGAACAGTGTCTTTGAGGCCGCATTCATGCGCAGTTTCAAAGGTCCGGTGCCTGATAAGCTGTTCATACAGAGAGATGGTCGCATGCGCCTTGCCTTCCAGGTCATGCTTGACTTCTTCAATCCGAATGGGACACGGAAACGTGGAAACCACAATTCCATCGGGATCTTGGCCGTCGTCAACCTCAACCTGCGTGAGGACATCCGTTATCGCCCCGAATACATGTGGCTCAGTATCATACTTGGTCCAGAGGAACCCAACCATGATCAGATCGGCAACTACATCCGCCCTCTCATGGACTCGTTTGTTGTTGGATGGGAGCAAGGCTTCCGACTCTCCCGTACTGCTCTTCACGAATCTGGCCGCAGCGTGGACATTGCTCTCGTTATCAACGTCAACGATCTACCGGCAACACGAAAGGCTCAAGGCATGGCTGCTGCCAACGCAAATCAGTATTGCTCAATATGCGACTGCTACGGGACTCATACCATGTACAATACGGAGTTCCATGAGTGGAAACGACGTGATATTGTAGTGCTCCGTGCCAAGGCTTACGAATGGCGAGACGCAACTAGCCAGGCTGCTCGCGACGCCATCTTCTCAGAGTACGGTGTTCGTTGGTCGGAATTCTGGCGTCTATCATACTGGGACCCAACTCGCATGGCCGTCGTTGACGCGATGCATTGTATTCTAGAAGGCCTGGTTCACTACCACTGTCGTCGAGTATTGCGAATAGACACCAAGTTGGCAAAGCGCAAGGAGACAATGGGTGCAGCGTTTGAATATAACTGGCCAGAATATGACACTGCAACATGTCATCCGGCCTGCATACTGAGGAACGAGGCACGAGAATTGGTTATGATTCGCGCCATTCAACAGAAGCTCGTCCAGCCCCTTCTTCCTGACAATGAGGATGAAGATGATGACGACGCGGCCATCGATGAACATACGGCTGATGCTCCCGATCCACAATTCGTCCCAGCGCTCACTATCAACCAGTTATATCAGCAGCTGATGAAGATCAATCTACAGCCCCTTCGCTGGGTCCTTTCTTCGCTTGGGCTCAATGTGAACCCAAATTCCATCGTGTCCAAAAAGGCCTGTTGCAACCAACTGATTGCGTGGGTGAGTATTGCCGGTGTTTTTGTCCGGACTATTCATTGACCTCACTGTAGCGCCGCACTCAGCCACTGGCAAGCACCTTGTTTGTCCCTCGGCCCATCAACTTGGCCAACATACATTTCATTCAGCGCGTAATCAAGCATACCACCACCCCGGCGTCGGTGGACTCAGTCCCAAACAACTACGGAGATAGCAATGCAGGGACGATCAAGGCGGCTGAATGGCGCATCTTAGCAACGATCTATCTCCCCATCGCTCTCGTACTGCTCTGGGGTGATCATGATCCCTTGGAGCAATCTCCGCGCATGCTCGAGGTCCTGGATCACTCCATGGCGCTGTTCTCTTCTGTCATCCTAGCCTGTCGGTACACCATGACCGCTATGCGAGCAACTCAATATCGAAGCTTCTTGAAGGACTGGGTGGATGGTCTGGCGACGAATCATCCTCATATCCGTTCTCATGCGATGCGGCCTAACGTGCACATGGCCCTTCACATCTACGACTTCCTTCTATTATATGGACCAGTTATCTCTTGGTGGACATTCCCCTTCGAGCGCGTGATTGGATTCCTCGAGAGGATCAACACCAATGATCATATTGGCGGGGAACTCGAAGCCACCCTGTCCAAATCATTCATGCGTGGCGCCAGTATCCGACGATGGTTGCGGCGACCAGATTGTCCGCCTGTTTTTGTCGAACTCAAAGCGCTTTTCGAGAAGACATTTCCAGCATATAACCCACCCACTGACTCTCCTCCACTTGCCAAGGATGGAGAACGTGCACACTATCGACGGAGTGGAGTCAACTTCTCTAGAGCCAGTACCCACCTGGGCAACAGTTTGGTAATTTATTATCCCCCTGGCTCTCACAAGATGATCGCCGGCAGTATTGAGAGCATTCTCGGGCGCGGGGAAGACATTGTATTCAAGATCAGACGTCAAGCACCATTAGCTACAGGGATGCGAGATCCGTTCTCACGTTACAGACCATTTTTTCCTGCTTATACCTACTCATCCTCCATGGCCAACATAGTAGATACCGTCCCGATGCACGATGTAGTATCTCACTGTGCCCGCTTCCACTTCTCTGGTGACCGTTGTGTAATTCTTAACCTGTCCGTAAGTTGATTTTGCAATAACACGTCTCTTGGTACTTGATGTCAAATGAGCGGCCACAGAGCGTTGGATGAGTGGCTGATCATCAGCCGATCATCAGCCGATGGATATTTTGGAGCCCGATATGTGTGATATTGGGCTGCACTTTTTTTACGCCGCAATAGGGCCAATATTGTCAGTGTGGATTGTGAACTTTCTTTCAAAGAGATTGAGCTGAGTAACGCACTAAAACATTTTGCCACTTTTGGGGTGACATTATGGCGCCCAATATGCTGATATTTGTGCCACCAAATGAGTGTCAGGAATTTGGTTCCAATATTTCCTTTATCTTTGAAACATTTTTTGCTGCAATAGTTGATCAATTGGGGTACCTTTGACACATCACATTAGTTTAAATATCACAATGTACTTTGTATTCAACCATTTGTACTGCAATATCTAAAATATAGATTTTTCATTGTGGGCCACATTAATCGCGATCTGCCGGAGTGAGTCACTTGAGAGAAAGGAAGCGCTGTCAAGGAAGACCCCGGCTTTCGTTGATCCGGATCGTTCGGCGGCACGTAATGTGCAAGTAGTCGTAGTCAATGACCTGCGGCGAGATTGTTTCCAGGTGGGCGGTCAACTCAATAGTGCATTGGTGTACAGTCAAAATGTGATAAAGAAGGCACAGTATCGAAAGAAACATGAGCTGACCCGACTAAACTCTCCAAACCAATGTTATATCTAGTAGTTCTATCATTAACAACTCAACAACGATGCAGTAAAGTAATGGCATCAGAGAAGGACAGCATCGCTCTCATGACTGGAGCTCGGGGGAGGGCGTTCTCTCCGCGATCTGATAGAGTGAAGGCAAACTAATTGCCAAACCATTGCTTGAAACAATCAAGTGCCCTCTGCGGCTCCTCCATGACGAACTGCGAGCACGATCGATTAACCTGAAGCGCCATCTCGAACGGAACTGAAACGTACGAAGTGATTGGCGCCGTCCACCAACTCAAAGGTGATCTCGCACTCGGGCTTCGCCTCCGCCAGCATCCGCTCTTCGATCTTCCACCCGGCGTAGATTGAGTTCCAGCCATCAGTCGAACCGGTCACAAGATAGAACTTGCTGTCTTTCCACAGCTGGCCGCGCACGTGCGTATCAAACAGCGCTTTGCCAGCCAGTTTTGCAGTGGCAGCGGCGAAACTCGGAGAAACGAGCATCGCGTCAGCCTTGGCGCCCGCCGTCAAGTCTATGATGCCGTCCATTGGGATAGTCTCGATGGTCGGCGGCCGATTCGGGTCAGTGCGAGAGTACGACAGATTTCGTAGGTCGAGAGGTCGAGAGGTCGCCGTGCAAGAAGAAGCTCGTCGCCCAACGGGCAAAGAACGGTCCCATCTCGGCTCGAGGCACTTCGGGATCGGTCTGGGGCACGTGCATCCCTTCCGGGTTTGGAATACCAAAGACGACGGTGGGCGGCTCTGCAGACTATCAGCTTTGTCGGAACGGGGGAAGTGAAACTCACGGTAGAGGATAACGCTTCGTACGGAACTGCTGAGCGTCCGGCGCGCACCTTCAGGTAAGCTTTCCATCGACGCCACGATAGCTATGATGGCTAGAGATCCTAGCGACCAACCAGCGACAGCTACGCCACCCGGAAGAGAAAGCGATTCGCCAAGCCCCGCGATCAGCAGCGCCAAGTCTCGACCCATATCCTCAATGAAGGCCTCCTTCTCCGCTTCGCTCCCGTTCATGAGCAAATCGAGCTCGTCCGGATGCGGAGTGAACCCGTCGTATTCTCGGCGATTCGGAGCGATGACACGGACGCCGTTCGAGGGCCCGAGGGCAGCTAAGGACTGGAAGGTCCCTGGACGCCGCAGTTCATACTCGAGGTCCAGTCCAGACTGCTAGAAGAACACGCACCGTTGTTGAACATGATCCCATGAATGAGCACCAGCGTGACATAGTTTGTCTTGTTCGATGTGGGAATCCCGCTGTCGGTGTAGCTGAAGACGATTCCGCTGGGAAGATTGAAGGAAGGCATGTACAGGGAGATTGTGCCATGCCCTTATATGCCCTTTCGTCGGTGTGATTCATGCTTGATGTGTCAGTCACAGGATGAACGGCGATGTAATGGACCTACTCAATCGCGTTAAGCGAGGGTTGGCATTCATGAGCAGCGTTTAAGCACCCCAGACGTGCCCGGGTGTGTTCACCATCAAGTCAACAAGCATTAAGTTGCGCGCCGCACGGCTTTTAGTACTAGATTTTTAGATAATGCGCACCAGAAGATCCAGTGCTTAGTGAGCTGATACATCACAGATTGTCCATACGCGAGCAATTGTTCTTGGGGCTGGCCTGGGCACGGCTGAGAGCCGAAGTCTAGCTGCCCCGCCTCGACGTCAAACATGCTGACACATGTGCGATGATCGCGAGCAGTGTTTGGAAGGCAAGGCAGTCCGTAGCAAGATCAGACTCCCGAGAGCCAGCCGTGAGTCCTTGCGCGCAAAAAGATATCATGCAGACAGCCACTATCACGCAGCACGCTCGGTTGGACCATTTTCGGATCAGTTACGCAGCGTGAGCGACACAAGCGGCAGCTTGCAGCACCTGTCGAGGTCGCAATGTGTTGGTCTATAGAATATGTGGGTTCTGATCTGAAGTCCGTGTGAGCCTCAGTGCAAGAGTACAGCAGGATGCGGATCTGCAGGATAATACACCGTGGAGACGGGCAGCCTCTGGAAACACATCGACACAAGGCAGGTGAAGATGAAGGACATGTTCCGGCAGTCGCTCTCGGCGTAGGAGGACTAGTGTAGTCTTCTGCGTGACAAGTAGTACGGCCTGATGGTAGTCGACAGGAAAAAGTCAAGCTGTGCCACGGATGTGGATTTTAGTTTGACAGGTCAATCAGTCCAACGTCAGGTTTGCACATATCTACTGTATCGACATGCTCTCCCAGTGAATAGGAAACGATGATGTCGAGACCATCATGGACTCACTACTCAATCCCACCACGCCGTGAAAACGGAGCATCAAGTATCCTTCACGCACCTGTTGGGGCAAATCAGTGGCAGCCGTCGTATTGCGCTTCAATCTACGATACGGCGCGCCCGAAATCCTTCTTATCCCGAGCGAGGACGGTCCTTGATTACCGCTTCAATGCATCATTCCTGACAGTGGTCTTTACTTGTGATTCTGTGAGAGTGCACGTCGCGACACGTCCCTGACATTCCGCGTCGATGCGACCAGCTTATACACGAATTCCCTCCTGCTTTGGCTGACCTGCGTACCCAACAATATGGACGCATGCAGACGTCCAACGTGTTGCAATTGGGTACTAGCTTGGTGAGCAGCCTGGCCTTCCGAATCGTTACGGTTATAGTCCAGACTCATCTCTGAATAGGGTATGCAATCGCTCCCTTTGACTTCTTCGACGAGGTGTCCAAGACTCAGATCAGACAAGAATCCCCGTCTGCTCAGCGCCGTATCCCATGGCTTCCGGGACTCCAGATCTAGATCTATTTAGGATGATGCACCGATGTGACGTGGTATGATATGAATGTATCTACAGCGAAAGCTGCTGACTGACTATAATCGCAGGCTTCATGGCATCATCGCGAGGTCTACCGAACGAACTCGATCTGCACGACGGACACATCCTACCGCAGTTCTTGACCACTAGCAGCACGTTTGACGCCTTCGCCTGATACAGTATGTGTCCTGACGCCGTGATCGTCGCCTGCAGAATTTAGCATAGGACAATGGTATTCGACTCATGCATTGTGCCAAGACACTCAAATGAGACACAACATGATGCTGAGCGAGCAAGAGTCCCCAGACTTGCTGAAACCCGACAGGAGAACCGGCTTCTTCAGCCTTCTCGTCTACGCAAGCAGCGACTCTGTAGAGCGACGGGAGCTGACTGATGTCTCGGATGTCGAGTCGGACGCATGATTGGACTTTCCCAGCGGGAAGGCTGCTCGCTGACCACTGGTGGGGGGACTGCAGCAGCAGCAGCAGCAGCCACGGCGTGCAAGGGGTTCGGCTTGTATACGATTGCGCCAATCCTCGGTGAAGAATGTGGAGAACGGGAGTGCGGTTTGGACACGCGTTGTCTAGATGACGACCCAACGAGGAACCGATCCATCGCCAGGACATCCGTGCGCAGCTGCTCGAGGCCCGGTCTGCGTCTCTGGTCGGGATGGAAGATGCGGTTGAGCAGGCAACTGAATGTAGGAGTCGGGTTCAGCATCCGGCGAAGAAGATTGGCGGGGTCCGATCGGTATGTGACAAATCGACGGTCGCTGTTGACTGGGACTCTCCACAGCCAACTGCTTGTCGGCAATGCGATGAAGATGACCCCCAGAGCCCAGCTATCGGCGCCGCGCATTGAGTGATTCTTTCGGCGATTTCACAACTGGATGAAGTAACAGCAGTGGAAACAAATGATTTTTTACTGCCCGAATTCTACGAGTACAGACGTCTGAGAGGGATGGAGGGCAGCGTGGGATTGTTCGGCATGCGGACTACGTGCTGCTTGTTGATACGAAGTACACCAGAGGGAGGCGCAAGAAACAACACGATTTCGTCCCACTCGCCATCAAAGGAACCTTCCAGCTCGACGACAGGTATGTGGTCCAGGTCCTGAGACGTGCTCGAACGGATGTAGAACTGCCACTGGAAGGCGATGTTTGCATAAGTGGTGGTGTGGGGAAGGAGCATTTTGTGGTAAAGGATGCGGATTTCGGTATCGGGAATGTCGTAGTAGTAAAGTTCGACGCCACGGGGAGGGTCACGGTGCTGTGGAATGGTTCGTGTTTGTGGGGGAGAAGGATTGGACACGCACGACAATGTGGGGAATATCAGAATCCAAATCGTGCTTCATGCCATCGAACAAGTCCTGGATCTCCGACAGGCGACTGGGAGGACAAAGCCGTAAGAAGTCTTGGACCTCTGCAATGCCCTGCGGGGTGGCATGCCCACTTGCGATCAGGGAATTCAGGACTGACTGCGCTTGGACGTGAGCGAGTCAGTGTGGCTAAGCTGTGGCAGAGGCGCACATTGCGAGCATTGTCGTCAGCACTGCCGGATGAGAACACGGGTGGGTCTGCCCAGGAAGATGATGTGAGGGGGAACATGGTGGTTTGGTAGGAGTGCGTCACTGTGACTGGCCCCTGAATCTGTCGTACTTGGGATTCATTCTTCTCCTCTTCTTCTCCCCATGGTGGCCACATTTATTGGTGGTAGCTCAACCAGCCTGGCGGGTACCGTCCAATGCGATATCTGGATCTTGCCTGTGCAGGGTGGCCCTCTTGCTCCAGCACTCGGGGATGTACGGATTGTCTGGATAGCTACGGGCCTGTCCTCGGCGCTGCTATGTACAGAGGTGTACACGCCTAATGGCTGGAACGCAAGATGGATGCCTCCGACTTGGGAACTCTCTTGGGCGACTCCAGCAGGGTGGATCCCACAACAGCGTTTCTTCATTCCTGCATGGGCGTGCAAGGCCCCAGTCTTTGGCAACTTCCCTGGCGTTTTTGGCTATCTCATTCGTTGGAATCACAAGTACCAGCTGGAAGTACCCGGATTGCCCGGGAACAGAATGGTTTACATCCAGCACAGTCGAAGAGATGCAACTGGTTACCAGCAACCTTGGACTGGGCTGCCTCATTTCCAACGGACGAAGCATTTTTCCAGGCTGCTGTGGGGTGGGCAGGAACAGCAGTGGAGGCTGGCCGTGGATTGGTGAGTACACTCACTATATGCCTTCAGCATGGGCTGACATCATTGTAGACCACTTTTTGCACAGTTGTGCATCATGGGTCTTTGGGCATGCAGGTTCCATGGGCTGTTTGCTTTGTGCAAGATCATCGCTTCGCGTCTACCCTGTATTGCTGGACATGGTCTGTTGCACATTTTTTTTTTGTATCAGTGGGTTTTGGTTTTGGGGCCTTCAGCACAGTGCTAATGTTCCGCCCTAGCATGGTGATTGGGGTGATTTGTATAGTATGGCAGACTAGCTTGCAGAGAAGAGTGTTGAGGACATTGCTATGTTGCGAAGATCTGCAGGGTAGATTAGTTATTTGAATTTGTACACTGCAGAGAGCCTTGTCTCTTTTCCACGGAAAAGACATCACAATCTATTAATTTGATTTTCTGTGCTCTCTTTTCTCAGACAACAAATAGGTATTCAAAATTGACATTGATTTACTGGGTGACTTTCTGCAAGTCCCTGACACTGCAGAGAGACTTATTTTTTTTCCCATGGAGTAGTGTTGCCGCAGTTGAGTTTGGTCTGGTTTTCACCTAAATTCTGCAAACCTTGAACCAAACCTGGGGTCTGGTTCAGGTTTGGTCAGAGTGGGTGAACCAGACCTGCGGTTTGGTTCCTTCCTGTGACAATCAACCAAAAACAATAGTCGAAAAGAGAAGTGAATTTGAAGACTGGAGAATACAACCAAGTAGCTACAGTATTTATACCCAAATCCAGTCTGAGTCATATCTACAACTAATGAGTCATAAGGCTATGTACCGCATGGTGTACTGGTCATGGGTTGTAGTAGAACCTTCCAGAGCATATGTTGCGCAGCCTTGAATCGATAAAGATAATCCCTGGAACCCCTAGCCCGGACCGTCTGATGCCGTGATCCGTGATAAGATAAGTCATGCCAAGATAAGATAAGATGGTCGATGATAAGATGAAAAAGTGGCCGAACTATGACATTACCCCCTCTCTAGGGTCGATGTCCTCATTGACTAGGCCAATGGGCGTGAAGACGTTCTTGTAAGGGTTGAAGAGTTGTCGTTGGGGATATGGAAGGCGCTCGTCTGTGGGTTTGTAGCGATGGATGAGATAATCCCAGTGTCCGGCTTCGAGCATTGGCAGGAGGCAAATGCGTGTGTCTGGGTTTGATTGTTTCCTCTGCCAGTCTCTCAGGACCTTCTTTGCATGGGTAAGATGACGTGATGGTTCCCAGGTATTTTCGCTATGCGGCCATCCCTTCCATTTGACCAAGTACTGCTTTCCTCGGCCGACGTTTTGCTCTTTCACGATCTCTTCGACTTCCCACTCTTCTGCCGCTCCGATCATCTTGGCTACGGGTCTCTTCTCTTCGCGATGGGGGGGTGGTTCTGATAGGGTGTCAACAGTGACTCGTTGAACACCGGGTGTCTTTGGTCCGTGTCCAGCAAATCCAGCTTCCATGCGGCTGCTCCAACCTTCTCCAGTATCTCGTATGGCCCCAATCTCTTGTTGCTCATCTTCTTTGATGGTCTATCCGTCTTGATATTTTCCCCCTCTATGTACACCTGTTGAAGCTTGTTTGTATTAGCGACTATCACAGTATGTAGACATGACATCATAAGTAGTATTCTTAGATTACTTTGGCTCGCTCCACAATGACCTCATACCTGACCTCATTATTGCGTCATCCATTACTCATCTATGATATCATTACTCCACTATGACATCATGATATCTGCTCCAGACTGGTATATAAACCTAGTACTATACGCTCCATATCCTCAGCTCCTGTGTCTCTACACTCGCTGAGGTATGCATTCTCTCTTACGATCTAATGACCTTACTTATGACTTGTACCATAGACTCTGTCTTATAGGTACAGCTAATGATATAGCTCCTGTGTCTCTACACTCGCTGAGACTCTGTCTTATAGGTGATCGCTACTGGTCGTATCTCCACTGCGCGGTATTGTCTGCGACAGGTTATGGGCCCCGCCTGAACCACTAGCGGCAAATCAAGAAACATTGAACTACTCCCTTTACTAAGGCGAGTATCTTTCACTCGTTCAGCCCTTCTAGAGCGCCGTCTTTGTGCGCTCGTCCCACTTGCTGGATGTCGGTCCTCGCATTTGTGCTCTCACCCTCAAGGGGTTACGCGAGCGGCGTCAGGGAGTCATTCAGTTGGCAGACGCGCCGTTAGCTATTCCGTCCATGATTGCTCGCGCGCGTTTTACGTTACATCTTTTTATTGTACAGCGGACATACCCACCAGGCACTGGTCCTTTGGTCAATCCCACTCCTGAACCTTGCGCGAAGCGCCTAGGTGGTGTGGTAGCTCTCAACAGCTGCTGGAGGTCAATCCCTCCGCCAGGCAAAACAATCCTTCGGGGTTGACTCGCATTCCTCACAAGGGACCCTGCGGGCTGGTGACACTACGGGGATTCATGCAATGACGCTCTGCGTGTATGCATGTCTTTAAAAGGGAGAAGATGGGCCCAAACCCGGTGCTTGGGACGGCCTTGGGCACGTGTCCCTTGGCTAGTGACGGACTGCGAGGGCAGTAATCACCGTCGGGTACTGCCGCCGCTGACGTATATAGTTACGTTACTTTGATACAAATATGGGCACTTACTATACCGCTTTATTTCGTTATCATTCCCCGCGCGTATATGGGCATCATGGATGGGATGGGGACGCTTGGTCGTTCTCGTTTCAGAGATTTGGCACTTGGGATTTGTTTCTTGGTCTGCAGAGAATCTGGGGCTGACTTCGTCGCTCTAGTCTTCATCTCTATCACCCTGTCATCACCAGACGACCCTCCCGTTGGGGTTATCCTATTTCCTGTTGTCCGTTGGGCTCAGGGACCTTCTTACACTACCCTTCAAGACACCGATTGGGAAGACCTATACAAACTTGGTGAACACGACAACGAAGATCTATTTCACCATCAGGACGATTGGACTCCTGAACTTTGTTCCCTATTCGGTGATCCTCCCTATATCGAATTCCCCTCTCTTCATTACCAAACCGCCGACGTTATCGAGTATCTCCCCACCATGTCGGGAATCGAGAAACTCAACAACTCCATTCTGAGTATCTTTGATGGCACCAATTGGAATACGTGGTCGGACAACTACATGAGCATCTGCATGCATCAGGGCACCTGGGGAGTGGTTAAACCCACTCATATTATGGTTAACGGCACATCTACCTCGAACCCTGGTTCTATGGAGCGTCCTGGAACGGCTGGTGACAGCCAATATCAATGGGACGTTGCCAATGAAAAGGCACTGGGTCTTGCACGGGTTTATATCACCCAGAATCTGCGCAAGGGAATCTTTATGGACGGTCAGCGGGAGCGCACTGCGCGCGAGGTTTTTGCGAAGATGGCGACGGATTATGGCCAACCAAATGCCATCGATGCTTTCGTCGAGTACCGCCTCCTGAACACCACCACCTTCCACGGTGGTGATACCATTGAAAAGCAAATCATGGAAATGGAGACTCGTCGCCAGTGTTTGGAAGGAGGAATCGAGATCCCCGACTACCTCTTCGCAACTCTAATGCTCGCCGCTTTGCCCGCTTCCAGCAGAGGTTTCGTCACCTCTTACCTGGCCAATCGTCCTATCGCTTCTCTGAACCCAGTCGATGTCAAGAACAGCGTCATAGGGAATATCAAGATCGAGAACCTCGACACGACGTCGAACTCGAAGATTTCCACCGTTCCGTCCCTTGCCACCCGCTGCACTCATTGCAACAAGTCCGGTCACGTTGCGGCATCCTGCTACAAGAAGTATCCCAACCTCAAGCCGACTGGTCAATCTTCTGACAAAGGCAAGGGGAAGCAGGATGAGGGGAAGAAGAAAAAGAAGAAGGAAAAGAAGAGCGGTGATGGTACTAGCGCTGTAAAAGAAGTTGTAGCCGCTCCCGCGGTTGCAGCTGCCTCCAATGGAATGCACATTTCGTCCTATCTCATGAGTGACTCCCTCAAACACATCGATGATGGAATTTTTGTTGAAGAAATGGGAGACGACTCTAAAGTTCGTTTTCTATGGGACTCGGGTTGTACGCATCATATGACAAACACCCGATCCGATCTTCACAACATCAGACCTATCGACACCTATGTAATCGTTGGGTTGGGAGCTCGCTTCAAGAATGAAGCCGTTGGAGATATTGTGTTGCGGGGTCATACTAGTAGTGGCATGGACTACACCTTCACGCTGAAGGATGTCATCTACAACCCGCACATAAGAGGGCGTTACCTTTCTGGGTATGCGCTTGATCAGGCTGGTTACTACACCATGGTTGGTGACAACAAGGCAATCCTAGTCACCAAGGATTGGCTCAACAAGGGAAAAGCGCATGGGGATGTCTTGATGACCTTTAAAGCAAGCAATCGCTGCTACTGGTACTACCCCGAGGAGCTCGTGGCACCATCTGTGTCTGCATCTCACGAGTCTACCACGCTGGCTTCCCTGGAAACTACCGATCGTGAATTGTGGCATAAGCGTTTTGGTCATGCGGCTCGGAGGACCCTTACTCACTTGCCGACACAAGTTGAAGGTGTTCCACCCTTGCGACGCAATAAAGACCAGCGCGGCATGTGCGATGGATGTATGCTTGGAAAACAGCACAAGCATCCGTACCCTGCATCAGAGAAACGTGCTAGCAAACCCCTCAAGCTTATCCACACTGATTTGATGGGCCCCTGGCCTACTCAGTCGTTGGAAGGTTCACGCTACACAATTTCGTTCTACGACGATTTCTCGAGCTTTGGCATGATGGTGTTCATTAAATCAAAGGACCAAGCCTCTACTGCGATTAAAAACTTTGTTGCCCTTACAGAGCGTCAGCTCGGCACAAAAGTACTGGCCTTCCGGTCAGATCGTGGAGGCGAATATATGTCCGATGAACTCACAGCCTGGCTCAATGCACGTGGTATTATGCACCCTAAGTCCGCGCCACGCGAACCACAGCAAAATGGGAGGTCTGAACGTTGGAATCGCACAGCCTACGAGAAAGCGGAATGCATGCGCCTCGATGCCGGCCTATCCAAAGGCTTCTGGCAATGTGCTATGGATGCATCTGTCCACGTTCATAATAGACAACCTATGGCACGATTGGGATGGCGAACACCTGCGGAACTGTGGCTTGGAAAGAAGCCAGACGTCTCTTATTTCCGTGTGTTTGGATGCAAGGCGTCTCTCTATGTGGATGTTGAAAAACGCCCGAAAGGGTTGGAGCATGGACGCCCCGACCACATCTTCGTTGGATACGAACGAGAGACAAAAGCTTGGAAAGTGTGGGATCCGAATCAACGCAAGATACGAGTCTCTTCAAATGTTGAGTTCGATGAGCGAGTATTCCCT